TTGCGCCTCCTCTCTGCTTCTCCTTTTTTTTTTTTTTCCTCCTTCTGTCTTCTGCTTTTCTGAAAGGCTGCCACATCTGTCAGAGCGGCGTGCACGGACAGCTGTTGTGACATGCACGCTGCACGGCTGCGCGCACTGCTAACTGGTGTGGACTTCCTGGTGTCAAAATGCGCTGGTGTTTGTTAAATGGCTGCTGGTGTTTTTATATATTTTCCAAATGTTTGCTGCTGATGTTTGCTGCTGCTGCTGCTGCTGCTGCTGTTGTTGTTGTTGTTGTTGTTGTTGTTGCTGTTGTTTTGTTCATGACATCCAGGGAATGTGTGTTAATACTTGTGGGATCAGACTGTGACTTTATAAAGGATGACGTGCTGAGGTGTTCCCGCCGCGGCTCCTCACTCTGTGATGCTACACTGTCACCGCTCACTCGGCCTAACTCGCACACGCACACGCTCCAGGGATTTAGAAACTCCACTATGCGCGCAGCTGTAGCGTGGTTTAGGTAGTTTCATGTTGTTGGGGTTGGCTTCCTGGCTCGGCAACAAGAAACTGCCTTGATTACGTCAGTTCGTCTTCATCAAGGGCACAATTTCCGCTGAATTACACCCCCTGTAGTCACCCACAGGTCTCTGCAAATGGCATTGTAAATGAACTGAGCTGCAATACCTTGGACAGAGACGGACTCTCTCTCTCTCTCTCTCTCTCTCTCTCTCTCTCATTGCTGTTATTTTGTGGTGGGCTGTAAAACCTCCCGCTCACAGGAGGAGAATAGGTTGTAAACAAGACGGACTAAAGTTTGAGACTCTGCTGAATCACATCTGTCATCAGTCGCTGCTGCTGCTGCTTTAGACACAGACAGATAGATAGATCTATGGGTGGGAAAAGTAGTAATATTGCTTATTGATATTGCAATAATTGTCGATATGCGATAATTAACCGTTTATTGTATCGCCTGTTTGTGCAAGAATATCTAAAATATGTTTTTCAATTTTCATTAATTTTTATTAAAAAAACATCAGACTTGAGTTATTTATTATTATAATCGATGTGTTCCACACGCTGGGCCGACCTTTATTGAGTAATTTCCTCCTTAATGCTGATTTACTTTAGAATTATCTCCCATTTACTGCCTTTTAGATGGAAACAGAGACGCACCATTGTTTATGTCATACTTTGAATTTAGAATCAGAAATGACTTCACTGATCCCCTGGGGGGAAATTGTTAAATTAAGTCTAGTTTCATTTTAGACTTTTTGTTTTGTTCCTTTTTCCGACCGTTTCCATGACATTTAACGAGGCCAAGTCAGATGAAACAAAGGGAAATGCGTCCTGTGTAGATTTAGCCTGAAGTACCGTGGACCTAATGGTTAGAACAAGTTAAATATCTTATTTATAGCAGCGGCTTCATATTATTATTATTTTTTATGCACATATGGTATGCATCATACACACAGTCCTGACTTCATCCCTGCACACAGATCCATGTGATCCCTGTCATCACTGTTAAACAACAAAGTTGAATGGAGGTAATGAGGTCATTGGAGAGAATGGAAATATCCAGGAAAGCTAATTCAGGGAGAACGTAATCATTTATTTATGGATTTGTCTGCTCCTCCGGCGGCGGCCGCCATCTTCCTAATGATTTTTGCACTGGCTAGTGTGTTGTTTATACTGGTCAGCGTTTCCCCTGCTCCCCCGCCCGTTGGCGGTGTGGTGCAACTGGAAGAGACAGTCTGGAATCCAAAGTCACTTTCATTCAGCTGAGTGAATGGCCGTCTCCGCTGGAATGTCTCGCTGACAAAGACTTTACAGCAGTGGAAACAGCCCCGAGAAGAGGCGCACAGATCCACCCTAACGCCATATACACATAAAACAATTGACTTCACTTTGTAGTGGCGCAGGAAGCCACAAACTTCACACTGCCATTTCCTCAGGACACCACGACATGTGTGACCGCCACAGGCACAATTACCACAGTCATCAGTACAAACTCAAACACAGCCACTGCCCTTTCTATTTATTTGTTTATTTAAAAAAACAAACCGTGTTATCTGAGGAGTGAAATCTAAAATCTGAAAAATCACAATTTAGGACAAATCTCAAATATGTATTTATGTGCGTGTATATATATATATATATATATACACATGTGAAGTTATATATATACACATATTCACATATACGTATTCATACATATATGTGAATACATATAGATAAAAGTATTGGGGTTCAATACTTATATTCTATAATTTTAAATATAATATAATTATATTTATATGGGTAAATAATTATCGTCAATACTATATATTTATAGTTCAATTTCCATTTATTTTTTCCCAGTCAGATGTGCCTTTTTTTCTGAGAACCGTGTTTGTTTGGTTTTTTTTTTCTCAGACATTTAAGTCTAACACTGAATCAGGTTTTTTTTCAGACATTTAAGTCTAACACTGAATCATTTTTATTTTTTAATTTTTATTTTTTATTGGTTGATTGTGATTTTCATGGAAGCGCGTACAAAGCCTGTATTTATTTGAGGTGAAATGCAACATTTGCACACCAGCCACCACCATGTGTCCTCCTGTACATCTGGGCCGTGATTTAAACCCGTCCTGGACCGGTTTAGCAGTGGATCTGTGTTTTTCTGATCCTCTGAAACTGGATCAAGCTGCGGCTTTTAAGGCGTCATCTCTGAAGAGCCGCTGTTCTGTGCAGCACGTGTGGCGTTGTATAAATATCTTTACAGATCCACTTTGAATTGTCCATATGCAGGGACTTGGCAGTGGTCGGTTGGCCCCGAGTGTTGACGACAGATAACCCAGTAATTAGGATTGCTGCGTGCACGTCTGCCTGAGTGTGTGAGTGTGTGTGTGTGTGTGTGTGTGTGTGTGTGTGTTTATGTACGGAGACGTCCTGCCTAATCTGGAGACTCCATGGGAAAAATGGCATCGAGTTATATGTGGAGAAAACTACAGTCTGCGCCTTTATTAGTGAAAAATGTCCATAAAGTGTATGTGTATATGTGTGTGTGTGTGTGTGTGTATAAGTCGTGTATCAACACGCCTTGAACATTTCGTTAACTATCGACATGAAGCTACTTTTATGGACGGAAGTAAATGTGAAGTGTTTCTACATATTTTTTGTATTATTTAAATAATAATTTGAAAACTAACCAGAAACAAAGAGAATATTATTCTGCTTTAATCGGTTGTTTTTCTTGGGAGAAGTCCCTGAGCTCGTTTGGAAACTATTTTCGCTCCAGAGCGACAGTTCTCCTCGTCATCACTCGGCACTCACACGAACCGAACATTTTATTCTCATCTGTTTTCGGCCAACAGTGTTTTATCATCATCATCATCATCATCATCATCGTTGTTATTGTCATAACGAGCCCGTGCAGCAGGGATACACCCAGACGGAGCCTCGGCCTCAGTCAAAAACAACTGCTCGACGCTTTATTTGATTTTTATCTTTAACGTGACGTGTGTTCGTGCAGATGCAGCGGTTCTGTGTGTGTATGTGTGTGTGTGTGTAGTGTTGTTGTTTTTGTGGAGATCCAACTGTGTAACAGTGAATGGACTCTGTGTTCCAGTTACTTTTCCTGTGATATAAACCCACAGTTTAAAACAACGTGATCTTTCATAATCCACACATCGGGATTCAAGAAACAAACATTTAAAGATTGTGGATGACGTATTTGTTTTAAAGTCCATTTAAATCACCATAAATCGAGTTGTGTTTCCTGAACTTTCTCTGACGAATTTCTAGCCTTTTATATAGTTGTTTGTATTTTATTGTTGCAAAAATTGAACATCATTTCACCGCGACTAAGGCTGACTTTTATTTACGTTTTTTCTGGAAATGATAGCATTACAACCAGGTGGAATCTTGTCGTCATGCAGACATTAAAATGGTTATAATAACGCTGCAGAAGTGTGAAATAAAAATGTTAATGACTTTTATGTTCTGACAAATTATAAATATTTCAGTTTTGTTGTTTCAGTTTTGAACATGGCGTGAAAACAAAACAGAGAATTCTGGGATGACGTTAACTTCATTAGAACATGTTCTGATGTCGTTTCTTTAACACAACACACAGTGAATACACGCCCTAAACATCATGAAGTATTTCCTGGATGAATCTGACATGTGTACAGATTATACAGATTCATCTATTGGACCACGTGTTGTTGGAGTACACGGTCGATGAGCGGCGGTTATTCAGTTTTATCACCAGCAGAAAAATTAACGAACTCAGACCGAGAAGCTACAGAAATCACTCCTAGTAAAGAAAAATAAATCGTCTTTAATGTCTTTAACTTTCTATACTTCCTGATGTAAGTATGAGCCCAGGTCACTGACGCACTGGTCAGCGCCCTGCTGGACACTGTTTGCTGTTGTCCCGGGTTCAGGTCTGCCGTCTGGCCTCTTACATTTCATGCTTGAATCTGAACCCAGCAGCCGTGATTAACGTAGCGCTGCCAAACCGGAAGCTATGGGTTAGGGTTTGTGTTTGTGCTCCACGAAGATGCAACATTGTGTGTTTGAGTAATTCTGCACAATGTTTTTTTTTTTTTTGGTGTAGTTGTTCTTTGGCTAAAGCTTGTTTTTTTCTAGTCGGCTTGTGACGTCATAACCCGGCCTGCTGAAAAAGGCGAATTGTGTGAAGTTGTATTTTCTTTAAAAAAAAAGGCGTTTGTCTGTGGTTGTGTACGTGTTATTTAGTGGTTAAACAGTGTCTGTTCTGGTCTGTCTGTTGGTTGAACACGTCAGTTTACCTTCATGTTAAACTGTGGTTCATTATCTCTGTCTTTTCATTTTAATATATATTCATATATACATATATTCCATATATACATAAATGTCTCCTCAAGCGAAACCACACATATATAAATAAAAAACACGCAACGCAGCCAAAAGAAACATTTGCATTTGCGTCACTGCATTTGAAAATGTGCAGAAAAATCCTTCACCGCAACAAAGAGTGATGACGAGGCCCAGCGGCCCGGGCTGCACTCTCTGCATATATGCATTAAACCGTCATTATTTACGACACAATTAGCCTGATTGTGTTCCCTGTGACACCGGGGCCGTCTTCGGCTACTGCTCATATACTCGGTCGTGTATTATTGGCGCCGTGTCTGTGGCGCTGTGGGCTGCAGCCCACACTGAAGCCTGTTTTACTGCTCTCTAACTGGTCAGTTACACCCGTGTACTGCAGTAAAGCCTCTGCCATTACACACAAGACAAACGTTATCCTCGGTGCGGATGCCTTCATCTGACCCAAACCTGTGCAGCTCTGCTGCGGCGCTGCTGTCTAATTTCCCCGCTATGATATGAAATATTTCACGTGCACGCGCAGAGGCTGTGGTTTCTTTCTTTCTTTCTTTCTTTTTTTTTTAAACGTTTGGCGAAGAACCCGGATGTAGTGTTATTAACGACACGTTTATGAACAATCAAATGGCCCTCGTTAAAATTTATAGACGGGCATAAAAACATGGACGGTCACCAGCCGAATATAGAGCGCTGCAGCGGGCTGCCTGTCAACAATCCGGGTCCCCTCCTCTGCTATCTCCGCAGATCCCGTTTAGGAAATGTTTGGTTTTAGCAGCGCCCTCGTTAAAACGGCGAAAACTTTATTGTCCCAGTATATCCTGCATCCCTGCCCCTACATTAGTCCTACATGTGGCTGCACTGGAGCCTTCTCTCTCTCTCTGCCTCTCTCTGCCTCTCTGCCTCTCTCTCTCTCTCTCTCTCTCTCTTCTTGGAGATTAACAACATTCCGAAGGAAGTTATAAACCTTTCACCTTATCAAATACGCCGCGGCTATGATGGAGATAAAAACTCGCTAACGATTCAATAAACACTTTAATGCTGTAATACTAGTCCCTGTAACAACACGAGGCTACTGTGGATTTGGACAGACGTGGATTGATTACACCATCAAATAGTGCCTTACACGCGTTTGGACGTGCACAGGTCTGTGCTGCGACCGACCCCGCCGCCTGTGTCAGATCCACGGCGGCGTGTTTTCCTCACAGCGGAGCAGCTGTTGCTGAAATTACCTCCAAATGCGTCCAAGAATGAGCGCTCAAAAGCATATTCTTTAATCCGATTTATGTGCAACTGTATCCCAGGATTTGCGGCGCATTGATCCACTGTACAATTTTTGTGGGGGTAAATATAATCACGTGTCCCTGGGTCAGCCAATGGCAGGCGGAGGAGCGCCGAGAAATAATTACCTGCCTTGATTGTTCTATGGCTAGATAAAAAAGTACACATAGGCTCCATATAATAATCGGATGCATGTAAAAGAGTCGGGGAAGCTTCGACATGTCGACCACGGGTCCCATTAGTAATTACTATGTGGACTCCTTGATCAACCATGAGAACGAGGATGTCCTCGCTGCTGCTCGCTTCTCTGCGTCCGGTTCGCACCCAGCCGGTCCTCGAGCGACGTCCCTAGTACCGGAGTGTTCCGACTATCCTTCCTGCAGCTTCGCACCCAAGGCTCCCGTCTTCTCCACTTCCTGGGCCCCCGTGCACTCGCAGTCATCAGTGGTTTATCACCCGTACAGTCACCAACCTCACATAGGCACGGACTCGAGGTACGTGCGGTCATGGCTGGAGCCGATCTCGGGCGCCGTGACGTTCCACGGCTACCCGGGGAACGGCAGGCACTACGGGCTGAAGCCCGACGCCTTTCAGGAGCACAGAGCCGGGGAGTGTCTGGGCTCCGGCGGACGGACGTACACGGATTATCTCTACTGCTCATCCGCTGACGTGAGAGACAAGACGCAGCAGAACATACCGTCTCCGGACTCCGAGCTCCTGACTCCGGGGAAACATAAAGAGGAGAAGCCGGAGCTAGACCCGAGTAAGTTCAAGCTGCTGCAGCCTTTTACAGCCGCTGGGATTTGTCTTAAACTTTGTTTTTAGTGCCATTTTACCGCCGTGTGTAAAGTGAAATTATAACAGCTTTTTTTTTTCTTTTTTTTTTAAACCCCTTTTCAGCTCAGCAGCCCCGGGTCGCCTCTGTTAAAGGAGGGGGGCGGTGGGTGGGGGGGCTATAGGAACTATAAAAGACAAACGCTATTAGGCCAATATTGGGGCTGTAAAAGCTGACGGGGTTGTAAACATGGACTCAAACCTCCAGGAAAGTTGGGAAACGTGTTCCATCTAATGTGAATAATGTCGAAGGTGTTCTCTTTAAAGTGAACAGAGGAGTCCACGTTCATCTGTAAATGTTTATGGTGCATTTTTATGACCGTGTTTGACCTTTATTTTTAACACAAAAAAATCTACACACACACACACATTTATATATAAATATACAGGCCCGTGGGGCGAGGGACGCCTCGTTCTGACTTTATTTGAATCCCTGAGCTAAAATGAATTATTTAGTCATGAGATGATGACGTTCATTGTCCATGTTTTAATATGATGTTCTCTTTTACGAGTCCAAAACAAAATCCACACGACTCCTTCAGCCAACCCGGGGAATGTAGGGACAAGCTGGAGGACTTTCACCGCGGACCTGTAACGGCTCGAACCACTGGCCGTTTTATGGGCCAATAAAGTGAATAAGCGCATTGAGGATTTTTACGACACTGTGACTCAGAAGTTAAAGTGGAGAGGAAGCAAATCAGCGAAGGGCTTAGAATGTTTGAAGAGAGGAATCTTTGATAAATAAATCCTTTAAATGAGTTAAAAATAACTCCAAATATTTATGTACTGAGCTGCTGCTGCTGAAACTGCAGAATAGTTGAGTCTCCTGTCGTTTTATTTACTTTTTTCATGATCCGGGCCAGAGCCGTGACTCGTTTGATGTACTGTGCATATATACATATATATTTACTTATATACTTTATGTGTAAATACACCTTTTTTAATTTACATTTTTTTAAATTGCAGATAACCCTGTGGCAAATTGGATACACGCACGCTCCACCAGGAAGAAGCGCTGCCCTTACACAAAGTACCAGACTCTGGAACTGGAAAAGGAGTTTTTGTTCAATATGTACCTAACAAGGGACCGCCGGTACGAGGTGGCCAGGGTCCTGAATCTGACCGAGAGACAGGTCAAGATCTGGTTTCAGAACCGGCGCATGAAGATGAAGAAAATGAACAAAGAGAAGGGCGAAATGAAAGAACAATGATGTGGACTGCAGTCAGAGCCACAAGAACCGACCACTGTAGTCACTGGGACAGATGGACAGATGTATCCAAACACACCATGACCCCCCCCGACCCCCCTCCTGCTGACCCTCAAACTCTTCATACTCATCACTTTGTTGGATTTTGTATATTCCAGACTGTGGGATGATTACTATGTTATTTTTCCAGTGTCCGGCGTTGATTAAAATAAATAAAAAATTAAAAGAAAATAGATAATTATATTCCGTTTCTACTTTGTAATAACTTTATATATATATGAATATAAATATGTGTATTTTTACTTGTAAGAGGAATTGTTAGCTCAGTTCAGTTACATTAAAACTGACCGAAGAAAAAAAACAAAACAAATACTTGAATTTTTTCTTTTCTTCTTTTTTTTTTTGCTCTTACACAAAACTCATAATTTATGATGTGAAGGATGTTTGTTACATTTGTACCTTGTTGTACACGTGTAGTATTGTGTACAGAGACTGAGTATCTGCGTCACGAATACTTTGTCTTGTATTTTCGTGACATTTGTTTCTGTACATTCTCTCTCTTTCTCTCTTTCTCTCTCTCTCTCTCTTTCTCTCTCTCACCAATTTTTGATTGTGGAGTGTGTAGCTTCAGAACTCTGCAAATACAAACATAGTCACTAAGCGCTGGTGTTCTGTCATATTTTCCACCAACCACAGGCAGCAGTAATTAGTAACAAGAGGATCAAATCACCCAAATGTTGATTAAAAAAAGAAAACTCCCAGTGAAAGTGAAGGTGACGCATTATGTTGTCAAAACAAGTTTGTGTTTTTAAATTTCTGCTTCCCCCCCCTCCTCCCCTCCTCCCTCTCTCCTCCCCCCAGAACGTTCTACTAAGGCCTTAAACACGTAGATATCCCCGTGTTAAACAATTACCAAACCGAAACTTCTAACTTATTTATGCTCTATTTTCCATTACTGTCATATTTGGCATTTTTTAAATATATTTTTTTAAATATTATTTTGCAAACACGAAAAGATTTCACGTGGAAAAATAAACAAAAATAAAAATAAACAAAATAAACCCTAATAATTTTTAAACCGAGACGGTATTTTTTTTTAACAACGTAGCGGACACAAATTACTTAGTTTAAAAATATTTTTATTCTAAAAACAAAAATCGCATTTTTTAAAAACACTCCCGTGAAAAACATCCTGCCGATGGTATTTTTTTTCCCTCTTCCCAGAAAGTAGGCCGAATACGTTCCGGGAACGTCGAACCGCTGCTATACGTTCACTTCCCCGAAACGCGATGCATATTTTAATGAGCTTCTTAATGCAACTCGGTCCGCATTTATGCGCCAGAAACGCAGGCGTCCAGAATAATAATAATTAAAATAGTAATAATAATAAAAAGAAATCGAGCCTCTGACTTTAAGGTGAAAGACAATTTCCCATGTCTCGCATTTGTTTCCTGGGATCGGCCTAAATTGCCTTTTTGTGTTGGCAAACAATACGGACAGGATGCAGTGATTTCAAAGGCCAATCCAGCGCCATTTCCGCTGCACTCGGACAAAAATGCCACTTTTACAGCCCCTGTTGGAGCTCGGCTGTTTGTCTCAAATGCAGACGAACAAAGCAAACTCGACTAACTGGCTAGACGTCTGGGCTAAATTACTTTATGGTTTTAATGGACGCTGGAGCTGAACTCGCTCAAAGGAGAGTCATGCGCACTGCGGGTCTGACTGTTTTCCCTTCTTGCCTGATGGGCCTTCCTCGACCCATCTGCACTTCATCACACCACTGCACTATTAGCCCACAATTATGAGGGGGAAAAAGTCGATAGTTATTGTTGGTAAATATGGACTCTGCAGATCACCGCTATCTCTGCTGCCGTGACTCGGTGATGCGGCGACCTGTGAGTTTAAAGTCCGATGTCCTGGAGGAGGACAGAGTGGACCGATGGTGGTTTCTGATCAGGAGGAAAATAAATGCTCTATTTTAGTGGAACTGAGTCGATGTGTGACGTTTGGACAAATGTGGAGACCCCTACTCTCCACATCACATCTGTTTCTGATTGGTGGATTCACTCCTGTTTAGGGAGCCGTGTGGACACTAGATGACGCTGTTGGACCATGGTTTGAGCCGGGTCTGCGTGTCGAAGTGCCTTTTCCCCTCAGCTCTGTGGCTTGGCTGAAGGATGAATGGTAGTCTATCGATGACAAAATGACAGATATGGTCGCCCACCGCCTTTGGTGTACTAGGCCGCAGAGCAGCCCCTCGGAATGCACCGACGCGGTGCGGTGTTGCAAACAGATGTGTGTGCACAAACAACTTTTATTGTGGGCTATTCTTTCTTATTTATATTATTTATTACCTAATTTTCTCCTTGGTTTTATTATTATTATTTTTTATTTTAATTTGACGTTGTATTTTGGCCGCATTTAAATTTCCTAACGAGTGCAATTTATTTTTACGTTGATGGATGTTATGTTTACTCTTTTTATAATTTGCTGTTAAATTATGCTCTATTTAAAACTCTAATATTTGACGCAGGACTTTCTTTATACTCACTGTGCTGAAAAAAGTATTTCTATAATTGTCATCAATATTTATTTTGATTTTTTCAATGTGTTTCATTTCTTTTATTACGCGTGATTAAATTTAAAATAAAAAAGTTTTAAAAAATTGCCGTCGAGATTTAAATGATAAAGATTAAAAACAAATACACGAGTAAAACCCACACATTAAAACCAAATTTATTTTCATTTATTTTAATTTAAAGACACGACGATGAAGAAACAGTCAGGAGCCACGTTAAATTTTAAGACTTCTTTAATGCCACTTCGGTCATAAACATTTACGTCCATAACATGTCATCACTACAGCAACTGCCAACAATAACATCGGTGTGTTTATTTTTCGACACGCAGCGAGAAAATGCAATTTAACACAAAATACAAACAATATAAAAATATATTTACATTTTTATTATAAAAAAAACAACAACAACAACAACTCGGTGCAGCAGTTCATTTGTGCAGTCGTGATATTAAAGGGCCGTAACGACAGCGTCAGCTCCACAGCACCGGAGAAATGTGCGAGTGTGATTGGCAATCTGCATATTTATAGAGTGTGGAAGGTCTATAAATTCGCCCAGTGCGCCTTTCATATTTTACGATGATGCGTATAAAACGTCAGTAACCCCGCAAAAACCACAGTGGCATATTTAGAGAGGGAGAGAGAGAGAGAGGGAGAGAGAGAGAGAGGGGGAGACAGAAAGGAGAGTCAAGTAGTGAGCAGGGAGCTGTGAGAGCCCTGATTGTGGCTAAATATCCAATGTAAAATTTTATGAACTCTCTGTGCTGGAGATTTACTGCTGATCCTCGTCGGTTTTACGGGGTCAGTCAGTGGCAGCCAGTCTTCGTAGGTCGTGTTTACTTGCGCGTGTGTCGGTGTTTTACAGCGCACGGTGCAAGTGTGTCGCTCCGCTCGTCATTATTACGAGCAGGATGTTTAGTCTTAAGCCCAGAGCTTGACCTGACGGAAACACTTTCCTCCTGTCGCTCACCGTAGCGCGTCGCCTGCCGTTGTGCAGCGCCGCGTTCTGCCTCTTTGCGGACCTCGCA